CCCCCCCCCCAAACATAACTCTCTTCTTTCTTATAACAGATATGTGTTGTGGCAGGATATATAACAAGAAATGAGAGCCCCTGTGGCCACCGTGCCCAGACATATCATATTTTTGGAGACGAGGGGAGTTTCGTCAGACGACAGAGAGTGCCCTCCCGTGGGGTCCCTATCCTCGATGCTAATACGAGGGGGAGGGGGCGGGGGGCAAAGAGGGAGAAACGGAAGAGACTCTCCAACGACGTCTCATCTTTTTTTTTGAGAGCTAAAAACACACCTGAGATCTCCTTTTTTCAGATGCTCTTCCAGACATCCACCCTTGAAGGTGAGAGCAAAGCAGCAGCTGTTTCGTGATGAGATATTATAATAGACCTGGTGTCATGCACACCTTTCTTCAGCGTGTTTCATATGATGCACTTAGCAATTTTCTTTGGTGCCCATGAGGGGGGGGCCGCAGCCGGTATCAGTGTTAATTTATGCCCTCCAGCGATCTCGAGACTCGTCTCTGGCAGGAATAACAAACATGACCCGGGGACACGCCACTTGGGCTCCGGTGCCGGAACCCGGGAGCTCAATCAGCGGAACCCAGAGCCGCTCAATACCGCCTATTATATTGCGTCTCGCCCCGCCGCAAACATGGTCTGCCCACGGCGGACAATAGTAAGTGGGCGAGTGTGTTCGGGACACATGTGGGGTGTACGAGAAAAATCCCCCCCACCCCCCCCCCAAAAAAAAAGAGAGACAACCGGCTCGATGCTAAAGGCAGTTTGCCGTCAGCGCAGGTTTTGGCGCTTATGGGAGCGGCTTACGGCCGGCGGTGTTTGGGGATATAAACAGCCCGAGTGTGTGAAGCCGATCTGCATTTTGTCACAGAGAGAGAGGTATTCAACAGAGGAAGGGCTGAGTCACGGAAACATGTGAAAGGGTGTGTGTGTGTGTGTGTGTGTGAGGGAGGGAGGGGGTATTATTTTTGAGGTGGCACGCCGTCTTAGCGCGTACGGCCCCCAAAGTACTTGTCGCGCCCGAGATTGTTAAGTGTCCGTCAAGGTGAGACGAAGCACAGCAACTTGGGGGGGGACGTGTTACACCTGCGCGTCCATTGGTCACGCTCCTGTTCGTTTACGCCCGAGAATGTTTCTGAAACACGAACTCGGCGGTGGCTCAGACGTGTTTGTTTAAGATGTGACGGGCGCCGCGGAAAGGACCTCGGGTCGCCTTTCACCTCAACTCAGCGTCTTCTGCTGCGGCCGATCCCAGAGCTGAAAAAAACGGATCTCGCGGTGATGTACTTTTAAGAGATCCCGACGGCGGCTGAAAACACGCTTGCACCGAATGGATGAAGAAGCCGTAGATACCGTGGCAGACACAGTGGCGGTGAGCTTCCTTTATTTGCCCGAGCAGCTGGTCCAGGGCCTCCTTCTGGCCTCTCTGACGCGGCGCTCGACCGTCGATGTCCCTCCAACCTGCGGACAGAAGACGGGAGGAAGACGACGTCAGAACAGGGAGAATGCAGCTCTGCGCTAAAGATGGAGAAGCAAAAACAGTCCAAGCGGTCAGCTGCTTTGATCCAGGCCGCGGTGCATGAAGCCTGAATAATCAAATTCTGGGAGAAGAGCTAAACTCTGGCTCTCCAGCGGACTACTTGAAGCCCGACCGGATGGGGTGCGTTCCAATCAAGGGGGTACATGAATAGTACTCTGGTCTGTTTAGGGAAATTTCAATATTCCTCAATTCGACCAATACAACCTCAGCATTGGAATGCAACGTTCACCATTGTACGACCAGTGGGACTCTATGTGAGGATAGTCTGGGGATTGGGAGGGGGGGGGTTCTATTTGGTCTCCCATCAATTCTTGGGCTGGCCCTGGTCCTGAGGCCTTCAATAGTGGGAGTGTGAGGTGTGTGAGACGGCCTGCTCCTCACACAGGTCTTGTGTGTGCTATCGGAAACAGCACCCACCCCGGCGTGAGAAGGCTGTGGTTGGCTGACAGACGGACCTGCTGAGCAGCACCGCCACTGGCCGCTCTCACGTGGGCATCCGACAGCCAGTGGGCGCACACACACACACATGCACACACACACGTGTGAGAGTAACACACATCCCGCCATGAGTCTGAAAGCACAGTTATTGTCTCCAACTGATTCTATTCCTCTGTGTGTTGTTTCTTCCCTCCTCGTAGATCCCCATATCTGCAGAAAACGCTTCTTCCTATTGGGTGCTTTCTCACGGGAGGACATGTCAGCGATAACACCCCCCTCCCCTACCACCATCGACCTCCCTGACACCAACTCCCTCTCCTGGAACTCCCCCCGACGGGTGCGTGTGGCTGTAAACAAGTAGAGCTCTATTCGCGGGTGAGGTGCATATCCTCGACGGCCTCCACGAGCGCTTTAATGGGGTGGGCACGGCGCCGGTACAAGGCCCCCACTGTTGGGGCCGCGCCGCGCGCTACGGCACAGACATGCAAATATTTCCAGTGGTAGGCCCAAATGGAAAACACAAACACGCAACATCGAAATTAGCTCTGAGGGAGGGAGGGAGGGAGGCGGACAGTAGAGAAAAAAAGAGAGAGAGGGAAAGCCCAGTCTCCTGAAATGAAGACACACACACACACACACACACGCACACATGCTTGCTGAAAAACACCGTGTGCTGATGAGGACAAACATGTTCACGTGTTCCCCAGATGTGCGGCGAGTGTGCCAACACACTCACAGTACCTATGTTCACTCTGGTACAGTAGGTGGGTGCCGACTGCACGGACGCAACATGCTTCAAACAAACAGCTACAGTATCACGAAGCCGGGAATCACTTGGGTGAATTAAGCCCTTCACGGGATCCGTTCAGTCGGCAAATATTATATTCTCCTGTTTGACCAAGGAAACCATTTTAAACCCTTGTAGAAAACCTGAAGAATCGATAGACAAACAAAATAGATTGATAGAAAGACAGTAAGACGAATAGATGAAAAAAGGTCTCTGCTGGGTCAACGCCTCAGCTGTTGTTTCACATGACTTCACGGTTAACTTCTTGGCTGAACCCGGGAGCTTCTTCTGCCAGCCGGCCCCAAACGCCATCCTGAGGCTACGGTTACACACTCTGACGTCCACGGGGGGGGGGGGGGGGGGTCCCGAAAACCCACGCGGCCAGCTGTCGCCCCTCTCCGATGATGTCAGCGCAACGTCGGAATGACGTCGGAATCATCACATCACATCACGTGAAATGATGCAAAGTCTACGTCTCTTTACGCGTGACAAAGTTATTGTGTTGTTCGTGCAAGACAAACACACACAACGCAGGTCCGTGTGAAAGGCGAGGTCTTCACCTACTGACGGAAGCTGAGATCGATTTATCTACGTGACAGAATAATTGTCATTTGGCTCGTCGGTGAACACACACACACACACACACACACACACACACAGACGCTCACACTTACTGGAAGGTGCAGCGCAGCCCGGGATGGAAACTAGCGGAGGCCCCCACCCCTTCATGTTGTAGGCAGACACCTGGACGTAGTAATAGGTCCCCTGTAAGGACAGGACACATGACATTTAAGGCACCATATGCGTATGTTATATGCATGATTCAGTGCATTGGTTTGTCTCCTTGTGTGTGTGTGTGTGTGTGTGCGTCTGCCTCGGTGCCCGGTCCACAGACAGCAGGCCTCTGTCTCTGCTTTCTCAGCCAGATCAATCAAACCCGCCGCCGACACTTCCTGACCTCGCCTTGATCCCTGCCATGTGACAGGAGTGAGCTTCGGCTGGCAGCAGGGGTCTTACCGGGGGACGGGGGGGACGGGGTCTCGCACACAATAACAAACAACCGGCGGAGCGTCCATTTGTCTGCGTGGCCGCTTAGAAAAATGCCATAACATAAATCAGGTGGCAGGCTACCAAGCTGCTCCCTCCATCATGAATGGGTTAGAGTCAAGACTCACAAATAAACTGTGTTTTCCAATTGTCCCCCCCCCCCCTCATTTGTCCCCAAAGAAAAGCCTGCGAGTTAATAAAATCAGGGGCCTTCATGTGTTCCTCGATGTTTTAGCCGTCAGTACCACCAGATGGAAAAGCTAAAGCTCAGTGGTGCTTTGTTTGGCTCTGTGTCACCCATAAACTACCAGGTCTTCTTATCCGGTAGTTCTTTGCGGCTGAAGTGGACAAAGAGGGAGAGACGGACTCTAGGACAATAGGTTCGTTGTCTATTTTGGATTCTGGATTCCTCCTGATCGAAGCGTTGCATGCTGGAGACAGAGATTCTGGGAAGAACTTACAGAAGTGAGCCCAGTGATGTTGCCCCGTAGCAGAGTGGTGTCCTCCACCACCATCTCCCCCAGCAAAGGACTCAATGAAGGCGCAGTGCTCCAGCTCACTGCAAATACACAAAAACAACTCCATTAAACACCCAAATAAAGACGCGTGTGACTCCGGGGAAACTTGTACTGTTCACAGTCGCCATCTGCATGCGGCACCGAGCGCTGACCTTTGTACTTGGTAACCACGGCGGCGTTGACACAGAGAGGTTCCTGGAAGTCCACCCTTAGACTGGTGCTGCTGCTGACGGACAGGCGAGCTGCAGCGGGGGCGTCTGGAGGGTCTGTGGGGGAAGACCGGACAGAAAGGCGACAAAGTCGATAAGAGGCGGGCAGGTGGACGCAAGCTAACGCATGCGGCTCGCGCGCAGCTACCTGCACAAATAAATGTGGACTCAGTGGAAAACTGAGAAGAAGCGAGGGTGTCAGTGATTGTAACTACACAAACATCTTTCATGTGGGGGGGGGGGCGTGTGACGGGGTCCACTTTCAGGGGTGGCTGTGTGCCCTGCCACTAAGCGTGTCGTGAAATGCCTATAAAGAATACAGCCGTGTTATGTTTGCACACACACACACACAGACACAGAGTCTTGCGCTAGCCTTTCCAGTGTGGAAGCCATTAACTCGGCCCAGAAAAGAATTGGAGCGAAAAATGAAAACCAAAGACGGCTGCTCGTAGGCTGCCGAAGCCTTACTGGCGTGCTCGAAGCCCGTCTGCATGCGGCGGAAGAGCCGGAGCCTCCACTCCCAGGCCTTCAGCTGCCTCTCCCGGTCGGATGCTTCCCGCTCGGCGGGACCCTCGCCGCCGACCTGAGCCCGAAGCTCCGCGACCCGCTGCTCCGCCTCCCGCACCAAGGTGGCCAAGTGCGCCGCTCGGCCCTCCAGGCTCACGACTGAGGGACAGCGAGGGAGAGAACGGGATGGAATGGAGGGTTGTTTGTGAACGTGAATTCTCAAAAACATCCCTTTGACTACACCTTTTTGGATGTTTTTAGGAACAAAACATGAGTTCACCATAAAATCATTTACGAGCATCAATATTGTGTTGGTTACTTTGATCGAGGGCCACATGGCCACACTGATACTGCAGAGGACTGCAGGAGTGGCCTACAAAAGCCAGTGAAATTGCTTTTGCGGGGACTCTTTTTAACGTCTTTGTTTGCCAAATGCTGGCAGATTCCTCCATAAACATTTAACTAAGCAGTGCCTCCTTAGGGATGACATCAGCTAGAAAAAGACCCAAAACGTGGCAATGAAAGTGAGAGGGGCAAGAGGGGGAAGAGCATCCTTCTGTTTATTATAAGGAACGTGGTGGGAACATGCATAAGCATCATTTCAAACTTCAATTGTTTGACTATTTTCAGAGTTATCTTTTTACATCGTGAACCACGGCCAGTCGGGTGTTACAAAACAAGTACACATTCACACAGTGTCACAAAGCAGCAAAAAAAAGACAAGCTAGTTTGAATTTATCTCACGTAACACCGTGAAGTGATTTTTTGAGGGATTATTCGAACATGACGTGGCTGCTGGTAATGTAAAGCCGGCCAGGTCCAAGAGGACAGTAGCACACTGTACTTCTTTGGTGGCTGGTCGGTCTGGGGGTGTTTGGGACCGGTGTGTGTCTGTGTTTAGTCTGCGCGGTCTGTGTTTGTTCATTGTAGATTCCACTGTTGAGCGTTAGATTCCACTGTTGACAGCAAGTTTAAAGCCCCGTGTCAAAATGTCCATCTGGGTGTTTAATTCTGCGGCTCTCCCGGTGTCTCCTCCGGGCCCGTGAGCCTCTCTTTGAATCTCGGCGTCTCTTCTGGGTGCCACTTTTGTTGTTCTCTTCAGCCGCTTGTGTGAAGACTTGGAGGCTGTCCGTCACTTTTCAGACAGGTAATGCCAGGCTGGGGGGGGGGGGGGGGGGTAAGATAAAAGTCAGGGATTATTCCTGAGGAATCCTTCATTTTATACTGTGGGACAGATGGAAATATTTGTTAAAGGTCCGTTTCGATATACAGGTCTAGAAGCCGGTCCAGATGCTGTCAGATGTGTGTCTTTATTTGTCCCTATTTAAACACGACGGCTGGGGTCCCCTGCAGCACTTTAAAGGCCCTTTGTCCTATTCAAAGCCGCCGAGCGACTTATAATGGGAAAATGCAAGTTGCATTGCACAATTTGTTTGATAGTCTTCGCCTGCCTTTGTCTCTGTAGTGGACTCAAGCGCGTCAATATCAATACGCACCAGTCGATTCCTTTCACAGCGTATGGAAAAGTCTGCAGCGCCTTTGATATCAACCCTCCTCAGATGGAGGCTGATTACTGGGCGCTAATGAAAATAGAAGCCTTCACTTTCCTCGTGTGCCCTTTCTTTGTGTTTCAGTCCTTTGTACGCACGCACACACACACACACACACACACACACACACACTCAAACTCTCAGCAGAGTTTATTTGAGTTCTGGAGAGAGAGCACAATCAAAGAGCACCACTTTCCATTCAAGTGTTTTCAATTTAATGATACCTTTATAAGAAGCCTGGCTCTGCTCTGCTCTTGAGAATCGTGGTCGCGTGTGCGTGTGTGTGTGTGCGCGCATGTGTGTGTGCGTAAGTACAAACACAAACAGCCTCGGAGCCTCGCTGGCGAGTTCTAATCATTGGCAGAGGAAGGCAGCTTGGAGATGACTAATATCGCCTGAAAGAGACGCGCGGGTTTGTCTTTGAGCACGCGGACGAACGCGTTACTGGTTTGGACGAGGAGACGTCGCGCGTGCGGCGTTTTCTTCGTTTTGCAGCTGATGTTGCCGCGGCAGCAGCATTTACGCTACAACATTAGCGCTCGAATCCCCCGATGCCCCAAACCGAGCCCTTCTGGTATCAGTTCTGAGTCCCGCTAAAGACGGAGATCCGCGTAGGAAAAGAAAATGAGAACCGAGCCGCCAGTGAGCGGTCCGTGTGGTTTGGGGCCTCGCTGGCGTCGCGACTCGACGAGCGCCGTCGGCTTGGCCATATCTCACACAAGATGTGATTGGTGAAATAACCGGGCCGATCGAATTGCCTCAGCGCTCGGAGCCAAGGTGACGTTTGCTATGGCGTGATTCATCTGTGGGCCGGACTCCAAACTAAAGAGCTGTCAAATTCCACATGGAAAAACACCAGTAAACACCGAGATTAAACTCTTATTAAAGACACTGTGGCAACTCCTCAGACCCTGGAGAGTTTGTACGGCAGTAGAGCTATTTCAATTAATTTAACGCTCCAAGCGTCTTAATGTAACAGCCGGCGTAACAGTGGCTTCTGTGAGCTCGATCGACGTCCCCTTCAATCAGTCACTGGACACTGGATTCTGCGACCAGCAGTAAAAATGTAAAAAAGAAAAGCTTGTTACGCATCATATCGACACGATACCCCGGCACGCTTCCCCGTGCGGGACCCCAGACTGGTTGGGTCGGTGTTGCAGGTGCGCCGTGGCCCCTCTACTCACAGTGGGGGCTCTCCTTCGCACCGGCGCGCAGCAGCAGCGTGGCCATGGGCACGTTGTTGGTCATGACGGCGATGTCGAGCGGCAGGAGGCCCTCGCTGTTTGGCGTGTTGTGGTCCAGCTCTTCCAGGCTGTACTGGGACAGGAGCAGCTGCACCAGGTCCAGCTCCTGGTGCTCCACCGCCTCGAACAGCGCCTCGTTACTCTGGAACTGTGAGACAAAGGAAGTTTAGCAGCCTTTTGTTGCGTCACGGTTTCTCTCTACGCATCTTCTGCCTGGTTCAGACGGCGGCGCGCGTGATGTTTGTATCTGACGTTCTCCTTCTTTCCAAGTCTATATGTTTTCTCAGGCTATTTTTAGACTACAATATTCCTGGGCTTATTATTTTTTCCTTCCCCCGTCTCTCCCTCACTTACTACGGTGGTTTTGCGAAGCCTCTCCTTGTCTCCTCCCCGTCCCGACACCACGCCGTCCTCCGCAGCGGGGGGGGGGTTGGTGCCCACGCGGAACTTTCCAGACGAGTTGCGGTACAGGCGGCGGGCCGCGCTCGGCGAGGACAGGCTGGCCGACTTGCGGTTTGGGGCCGGCTGGTGGGCCTGGTCGCCCCTCATGGGCTGCGTCATCTTGGCAGAGTCCGCCCTGGGGGAGAGAGGGACGGGTGAGGCAGAGCCACACCGGGGGGGGGGGGGGGGGGGGGGGGGGAGAACACAACAATAGGGGGTTTTTCACCCCACAAGGAATTTTTTATTTTTCCAAAAAAAAAAAGTTTTCTATATTTTGAAAAACGGGCGGGGGAACCACCGGAAAAAAAAGGGGCCCAATGGCGCTATTTTCTATCTCCAGACGCTGTGTGTATAGGGTCCCCGCCCCCCCCCGCTGCACACCTCGTGGTGTCACGGCTTTGTGACGGGAGGTCGGCATCTCCTGCCGCCGGTGTCTTGGCTTCTTGTCCCGGCCGGATGGGTGCGGGGCCCTCAGGGCGAGTCTGGTATGCGGCGCTCGCACACCCTCGAACCGCTGAAGGAAATATCAGCGGGACCCCAACAGGCGACGGCGACAGACTCGCCGACGGGTCCCAACGAGCAACAGCCAGAGAGATAAACGAATTCCTCAAGGAGTAACTGTCAACAGCGCTCGTTTCGCCTCTCGTCTCATGAGCGTCCTATCGCGTCGCGCCCTCTCTGTCCTTGCTCGGTTCCTTCACTCGGCTCTTGACCTTTCACTCGTTGCCCTTATCTCCTGGTGGCCTCTCATTTCTCTCCCATCATCTCCCACATTCCTCCCGCCTCCCTCTCCTCTCTCCCTGGCGGTTCTCATCTTTCCTGGATTGTTTTATCGCAGCGTGGCAATAGAATCATCTTATCTTCTGCATTTGTTTAGTGCACATCGTATTTTGAACGGGACATCTCGTAACAAGGAGACAGGGAGAGTAAATAAAGGTTGACTTACGTCGGCCTTTCAGGCCTTTTGCCAAAAAGTAGCACTGAGAGCCAAGAGCAGATTTGTCAAGGTGAGAACATCTGTAGGAAAGTTTGTATTTATACTCCCGCTCCGCTATGTACGTGCTGGCCCCCCCACCTCTTCACACACACACACACACACACACACACACACAATACCTCCCCCAACAGCTGACGGCAGCCAACATAGTGGACATTAAAGCAGCTCCAAGCCCCCGCAACAAGCCCTTTTTCACAGGACCGATACACCTAAAATACCCTCGATCCACGTCCCTTCCCGCTCCATCCCATCCATCTCCACTCCATCCCGTAATAGAGGCCTTATTTTAGACACCCTCGTGTTCCCGGCCGGGCCGAACCTATTCCAGGGTCCCGGATAAAGCGCAGCAGGTATTTGGAATAATTTTTCCACGGGCCAGGCCCGGGAAGATAAAACAAGAGATATATTTGTAACGCGTGTCAGTATCCCATTTCAAAGAGAAAGCCCGGAGGAATTCAGCCCCCGGGCTTATTGTTATTCGACTGAGGTGGAACAGAGAATGGAAGGCCGGTGCCCTACCGCTCTGTGACGACATTAGCGAGCGTGTCTTTACACCGCCGTGCGATGGTCACGTCTTGTATATGAACGTCCGTGGTTAGCACAGGGATGGCGGACTCCGCCACTTATGATTAATAATACTATTCAGAGCGGTATTTGTAGAATGCAAATACATGAAGTGAGCGGTATCAAAAAAGGCTCTACTACTGTTTTATTATCCAGAGGCTTGAAGACATCTCTCTCACACGCCGCACAATTTCTGCACTTCTACCAGGCTTGGGAAAACAGGAAGCAGTTGTTCTGGGAAAACCAGCGTCTCGTGCAAGAGCCAGGCTTCACGTCTGGCCTCCCAACAATCCCACATCAAATACAGCCGGTCTGCAGTGAGACGGCATCAGAACCAACAAACAATCAACACCCCCCAACTGCAAATACGCAGCGTTTCGCTTTATTAGTTCTATCGGCGTGTTTACGCAAACAGCTCAGACTACATATAAAATACGCAGACACAGTCCAGACAATTACTGCCTTAAAAGTCAAGATGGGAAAAACCTGTGACTGAGAAAAATGTCAAAAAAAAAAAGTTAATTCCCAGCTCGCAGAATTTCCGAGATTTTTGCGTAAGCTGAAAAGCAGCCGCGAGTGTGCACATAACAGCTCATACGAGTGGTGAGCAGATCTCAGGAACCTTCAAAGCAAATCGGCCGACTGACAGCCGAGTGGAAAATGTTGCCTCGTCTGCCGGCTCACGGTTGACGTCGCAACACACGCTGTATGAATTACACCATCAAGAAACAACGAATCCTTCCAACCTGTTATCAACAGTACCCCCGACCCCCCTCCCCTTAATAAAACTCCCAAACTCACATCTGAGCGTGCTGGTGGGCGAGCGAGCCATTCGACACGCGGCCCCCCGTGGAAGCTCGCTCCCCATCACTGTTTTTAAAACAATGACTCGTTTTTGAATAACAGGGAACGACTCCAGCCCCCCCCAGGACGAGACCGACTGACCGACCGCACTCACGTGGGGGGCTTGAATATGAGCAGAAAACACGCTAACAACAGACAGTGACTCGGTGGCACTACAGGCGTGTGTCACGTGGACACATGACCAGATAAGCAGCACATATGTCGTTTTCCTGACAGTGAGACGATAAAGTAACTAAAGCCCACAATGAACTTTTATTCAGTTTAAATCTAAATGATTCATTCCTCATAACTCCCACCACCGCCTTTCCCCCTCAACCGTCGCCTCTGCTCCATCTCTTTACCCCCCCCCCTGCTTCCAAACGCCTCGCCGGTGGCTAGTTTACTGCCACGACAACACATACGTCTGTGTTGTGTGTCGGTGTGTGTTTATTACACGCCGGC